TTTTAAGAGTTCTCGCACACTTTTTTTACATTTAGAATGTTGACTCAACTTCACTTTTTTTTGGGTGTATGTTACCGTGAAACACCCTGCCATGAAAAATTGGCTTAAAATATGCGTGCAAATTTAAGGTCTCATCAACATAACAGTGCCGAAACTTATTTTTACCTCATTTTCACGAACTTTTTTTTGGGGAGATGAAGAATAGTCAAGAAATGTTCGACTCTTTTCGAACACCAATTTATTCAGTTCAGCAGGGATGACGGGCATGTTCTCGGAACTGAAAATTTCGAGCGGGACCGAGGGTTTATCCTGAGTGACAACCTTGTAGCGAGCGAATTTTCACAACGGTGCGGGATGTGCGAAATAAAAACTGCACAATGCCATCGCGAGCTAGCGCGACGCCTGCTCGCCACCCCCGGAGATTCTTTTGTCGGTGCTTTGTCGAAAGTATTTACTTTGCATAAGAATGTGGAGGAAACAGAAAGCCAAAGATCAGACAGGCACATGCATGAAGAGACAGGAAAGGGTGAAGTTGCCAAAATGTGAGAGAAATTCTTGATTTTTATCTCCGAGAGCGTAAAACACTATATGTATACTGCAGTCTGCGTCGTACCCTCTTTGCTACATACTGATTTAAGAGCATGAGAAAAACAAGGGGGAGAACGGGAGACTAGGCTAAAATACAACAATAAAAAAACCCAGAGACGCTTCATTGCGTCATTTTCTGCACCGGAAAAAAAACACATTGGATCTAAAGTCCAGACTCTTAAAAACATCGACAAGAAAAAGTACTCTTGATTCAATCAGAATCTAGCTTAAATTAAGAACCAAGCCTCTTAATTTAAGCCGATTTCGTTTTGATTCAAGCAAAAATCCTATTTGATCAAGAGTATTTTTTTGTCAATGTTTTAAAGAGTCTGGACTCTAGATCCAATGTCAATTTTTTTCCAGTGCGGTAAAACAAATAGGAGTCAAATTTTCGCCCACGAGAGATTTGTCTCTTCTTCTACAAGCTCATCTAGTCTTAAAATGCCCCCTAATTTTAGAGATATTGACTTTCTTTCTCTTATTAGCTTGGAGGACAGGATCGGAATCGGAGGATTGCACTAAGAACTCAGTTTGACACCACCCATTGAGTATGAAATAGCAAAAAAAAAAAAAAAAAAAAGAAAGAAAAGATAAAAGAAAAAAAAAAAAAAAAAAAAAAAAGAAAGAAAGAAAAGATAAAAGAAAAAGATTCCACTGGTAGCTGACAAAGATTTTTTGGACGAGTTTGATCTAGTTCTTGTGCGGGTTTTAAAATATCACGCAACATTTTTTGTTCCCTAAAAAGTTGTTTGCGTGGCGTCTGACCCACCTAGCCAATACGTATGCATACTCAAGTCTGCCTACAGCTACCATCCGTTTTTGTTCTTCTCGTTTCTTGTTGACCGATAAAAAAAATCATATCGTTGCGGTTATTTCACGATGACGAGAAAAGCAGTGTCGCAAATATGGTTATTCACCTCCTCGAATGTGTGGGATGGGCTGACTTTATAAATAGTAAAATCATCGTTGAGATTAGTTCATTTGCGTCCTTACAGAAAAATATCATGCAAAAACTTTCAGGAAGTTACGATGCTTGCAACTTCTAAACGGCGAGGTGTTGAGTTGCTTACGCTTATGCGTATTGCTGCTTAACGGACAGAAAAAAGTAACCTGTCGGTTATATAACAGGTGTGACATTTTCCAGCCAATAACCTCATTGTTACAGATGTCGATTTCTCGTTTTGCTTATTTTTTACTGAACCTATTCTATTTTTACCGAATTAATAAAACGATGCCCTTCCTGCTATGCAAAAGATTTGAATCATGTGATGAGTCAGTTGTAAAAGGAGCTCTCCGGAGATGAAAAAGTGGTTGGCAGAGAACACCATTCTTGTCTCTTCCGCGAAACACATAAAAATTATATTTATAGACACATACTTCAGAGACTCTTTCACCGATGAGGAGATATAATCCAGGCCTGAGGTCCATTTCGTAAGGTCAAGAACCTTCCGCTGAAGGAGTGAGCACTCCAGGCTGATTGTACCACACTGAGAAAAAACTATGGCTTATAAACCTATTAGAGGTAAATATGGAACACCACTAATAGTAGTACCTCTACATATAATAATAGCACATATACCTTAGTTATGGTACGGGGTACCTTAATTAGGTACAGAGACCTTAGTATGGTTCACAGACCGAGAATCATTAGTTTATTTACGACTATTATAGGTGTTCCATATTTACCTCTAATAGGTTTATAAACCATAGTTTTTTCTCAGTGCAGAACATGCGTGATCTTTCATTTTCCGCGAAAAAGTTCATATGTGGACTAGTTCACATAGCTTCGCAGAGCCACCACACACGAACGTCGAGTCATGGGTTCGAAATGAAACAAATAATTCTAATTTAGGCGCTGTTCATCCTTCAATGCATAAGGAAAGCCACACGTTTTTACTGCACCTAGCTAAAATAAATGCCTCCGACAACAACTTTATAATTCACACTACTTGGTCCCGACTTGGGACTCGGTGTTTTTACAAAAGCCACAGCATGAATTGGACTGCATTTTGCAATTTGGAGCTATAAATTCTGACTCATCTGAAAAAACACTTATGTGCGTAAGAAACTAATGGCACATACGTTGTTTTTAAACCGGGTCGGAATTCATAGTTCCAAATTGCAAAATGTAGTCCAATTTGTGATCCTCAAAATCCGACACCTAAAATTATTACACGTCAAAGAGGGTCAACAAAAATTGAATCAGCGGAAAACGAAAACACACCAACTCGATTGCTTGAAAATGCTCGATTTTCATTGAGGATGGGCAATTTTTTTGAGTGTCATTGAAGTTAGCATATCTGTTCCAACTTGGGCTTTTAAAGTGTCCTTAGGTACTTGTTTTTTTGGCACCGAAAATATTTTTCTCAGGTTCACTTCTTCACCTCCTGGGCAATTTTGTGTGTGTCTTGATCACTTTAATTTTTTCGAGTTGGGGTGTTTTCGTTCTCGCTGATTCAATTATGGTCCGTTGCGATGAGGCAGCGTTGCGAAAATCCTTCGGCTACAACGGTGAATCGCCTACGAAGATTCCGAGTTACGAACTGACATTGAAAGTTACTCGGAAAAGTGATATTATTTCCGAATTATTAACTCATCAGTTCATTCCTACAGAGGCATCACAAAGCGAACTTTCAATGGAACTCAGCCAAAATAATGTCGCACGCATAAGGAAAATCAGAAGTGCCTTTATTGAATACGTGTATTAGAATTTACACGATGGAAGCATGTTCTCGACACCACTGGAGCATTAAAAGTTGATGTGCATTCATCATCCAAGCTACGTGCAGCCACTGCAAATGAGCGATTCTCGCCGATCTGAAGTGCAGTTGCACGTATTAAAAGCAATAATTCCATCCCGCACGACCCGTTTACGACGGGAAGGTATTCATTTTATGCTTCTGTAAAATCATATTGTTTTTAAATGGGTTCAGGGCAATTAATACCTTAACGGAGATTGTCCTAAACTTTAAAACTAAGTGGATGTTTTAAACCCTAAGTTCCAAGCATTGTTGCAATGTGGATTGTCCGATGAGAGATTTGATGATTACGAAAGATCTGCGAGAATTCTCACCACAAATCCTGTTACCTATCATGCCAGAAAATTAGTTGTAAGAGTGAAGATCCTGACCGTATTCAACGTGAGCAGTTTTTGAATTATTAGACTGTGCATATTTTAAATACTTAGACTAAGTATTTTTTGAATTATTAGTATTGCATTATTTAAATTATTAGACTGGTTATTTTCCTAATTATGAGACTGTATAGATAGTAGTAGTGTTCGATTCGATTCGGCAACACTGATTAATTTCGGGACAAATTAAACCACGAGAACTTTACATAGGTGTTAGGAACAAATATTGGTATGTGTGCGCCATTGCAAAGCGATCTCCTGAACACAAATTTGACCTTAATTTGAAGGATACTTCGCCTGCCATGGAAGCGTACATCATTGTTGAGGGATTGAATAGAAGTGAAGAAGTGTACAGGGTACATTACGATACGCTGATTGCAGACGGTACACTTTTGCTGACGGCCAACCGAGAAAGGGTGCCTTAAGGATGAATGGGCACCAAATTTGACTGTGTCAACCACTTACTGAATGATGTCGAAAAAAACCTTTCTTGTGTCTAGAAAGAGTGCACCAAAGAAGACAGCAAGTTTCTGACAAACAAGAAAATATAACAGATGTCACCGTATGTACCGCGTCTGATTAATGAATTCACTAAATATGTCGATAAACGCGATGATTTTCGTAACGGAATTTGGAAGCGGGTATATTTATTCTTTTCAAAATTTAACCGAAAATTGTAGATTAGTCAATATGTAAATTTTTAACTGTCTTTGTAAAATTCAATTATTTCCGACAGGAGTAAAAGCATTAACCCTTAGATGACTAAAATGCGTCAAATTGACGCCAGATTTTCTGACGACCCAACCAGTGCACTGCACATAGGCTCTTTAGCATGAGCCTCACAATATGCTCTACACAAACTCAGGGAAACCAAATTATTTTGACAGCGTTCATTGAAACGGCACAATTTTTAGGTATCATAATTACTTTTGACTACTATCCCTAAATTGACTATTATGTGCCAAAATGACCTGTGGTTATTTTCAATGGATACTTTTTAAGGATGCGTGTAAACGCATTAACATTCCGAACGAGACACTAACCATTGATGAACAGCTTTTGCCTTTCCGCGGTCGCTGTCAGTTCATCCAATATGTGCCTCAAAAACCGGGAAGCATGCATCAAAATATTGATGTATGAAAGTGAAGCCCTTGTGGCAACACCTCCATTACATTCGTATGATTTGCCCTCATACATAAAGTAGTTTTGTTTAGGTATGATATGTGATAATGCTTAAGAAATCCTAGAGGGTATCCATGAGAAAATTGAAGAACACTAGTCTGCTCAGTAAAATGTATTCGATCAATGGAAAATAATTGCAATCATGGAAACAAAAAATTACGCGGTTTAAAAAATTCAAATACTCGACAAGTTCAATACAACCGATTCGTGAGATAAAATGGTCTCAGAGTTGTCTCTTTGTCTTTGGTCGGTATCTTTTTTGGGGGCTACGATTTTTTGGCTTATTTTTACTGGGGGATCTCCGGTATTTACCGGGTGAGCCAACCGCAGAGGCTGATCTTTGGGATGTCTTCCGGTATTTATAGTTTGGACCAACCGAAGGGGCTGATCTTGACGGTGTCTTCCGGTATTTATCAGGTGAACCAACCAGAGGGGGTGATTTTTGGGGTGACTTCCAGTATTTATCGGGTGAACCGACCGGAGGGGGTGATCTTGGTGGTGTCACCCGGTATTTATCGGGTGAAACTGGAGGCGGGGATCTTGGTGGTGTCATCGGGTTACCAGCCGAGCCAGCTGAATAGGCTGAACGAGGAGGCTGGCTGGGGTTTCTTGGGGCTTTTGGTTCCCTTGGCGGGCTCTCCAGAACTCCCGGGGGGCGCGTTCCGGCCGTTGAAGCTGTTCTTCACGGGGCCCGTCACGAAGGTGGCCGTGTCGAGGCCGGTCTGCTTGCCGGGGCCCGAGTTGTTGAAGCTGTCGGTGGTCGGGCCCAGATTGAACTTTGCGCCCCTCCCGAAGAGCTGGGTGCCGCCACCGCTGTTGTTGAAACTGCCCTTCGTCCCGCCGTTGCGTCCTTTGCCGCCCGTGTTGAAAACCGCGCCCCTGAAAATGCCAGAAGATGAGAAACTCGGGAAAATTGGTTTTGGGTGTACTGTCATCTAATATTTTAGGACATACCCACAGGGGGCCCAGGGGCCGCCTGTACTTTGCCGTCCCCTTCTCATTCGTTTTGAAACTCGATATAAAAACCATCAAATGTGTGTCAGCGGGGGAGGGGTGCATAAGACGCATTTACTCGTGTTGAACACATTTTTTGGGAAAGCCCTGTCAACACTACTAGCAAAAGTTCACGGAACTTTGCGCGAAAGTTAAGTCCCGTAAACTTATCTCTGTGTGGACAAGGCCTTCCTTCAAAAGAAATGAACGAAAAAATTATGAAAGAACAAACATAAATGTGGCGATCAATGATTTTAACTTCCGCCGCCGCGCCGCGCAGACCGCACCGTGTTTGGCGCAATGCGTGAAGTTTTCATGCATTCTTGTAGGCGCTATGTGTTTCACGCTGACCGCAATGACCGCACTGTGTCTGACGCAATGCGTGAAGTATTCACCGTGTTGTGTTAGATAGTATAGTGTTTTAAAGCTTTAAAAACAGTTTTAATAACAGTATCGGAATGGAATGAATTTCGAAGTGATTCAAAGTTAGAGGGGAGAGCCAATAATTGGAATGATGAGAATTAACCCCTTATGAGCATCACTCACCCTCTTCTCCTCCTGAGGAAACGTTATGCATAAAAGTGTACGACAGTCAAGCTGTACATCTTGATTTTTAATTTGACTTTTACATAATAATATTAAAATCGGATTTGAATTCAAACGCTTAAATTTCGGCAGATTTCCCTGTTTCCAGGTTTTAATTCATTTTTCTTGCCGTAATGTTTTATCAATTTGCTTTAAGGTACCATGGGCAAAAAACTGTCTGCGCCTGGAAGGAATTGAGCAATGTAAGTAAATACTTAGTGTTGGCAAATTGCAGGAGGAATTTTCTACTTTCCTGTAGGAAATTTCAACAAGTACCCTCATTCATTCGGTTTAAACTTAATCATATCACCGATTTCCTAACTGCTCGGAAAAACAAGGCATGCAAGTTGGTAGACAAATTCAAACATGTTTTTTACAACTATGTTATGAATAAATCGATAACAAGTGATCAAAACGGTGCGAAGGTATCCTGGCCCTAGATACAAATGGGCTTGGTAAGACAAGCTCATGTATATAGTTCGTAATTGTACAAATAATCAGGCATTTAGCACTTTTGGCCACCTACTCTATCCTAATTTCTCTTTTTTTTTGTAATTTCTTACACTTTTCACTCAAGATTACACTTCTTTTCGTCCTTTAATTTACCATAGCTTCTACTTTTACCTGATCACTTTTTGTTTTCATTGTTATTTATTGCTCTATTTCTTTTAATTATTTTATACTTACCTCTATTATTTCTTTTATTTCTATCTTAATTCTTATTTTTATTCTTTTCTATTTTATCATATACTCTGTCTTATTCATCAAAGTGCCTTTTGAAATGTTGATTTTAAACTGTTAAGCGAAATTGCGAAAATTTCATCGTCTTGGTGTGTATAATTTATTGTATATACTTAATTGTAATATACTAAATAAAATATTAAAAAAATAAATGAAAAAACGTGATCAAATACGGGTTTAAGAGTCATACGCCCCCTTACCTGAAGTTCTGGTTACCGCCGCCGAAGTTGTTAAAGCTGTCCTGGGTGCCACCGTTCCCTGAGTCGAAGACCACATTGCTGAAGTCCTGATCTTCATTTCCGAAGTTGTTGGCGAAGTCTTTGAAACCGCTAGGGCTGCTTACGACTCCGCTCAGGCCCAAAGTATCCCAGAGATCTCGGGTTTCGAGCGAATTTCCGTCGTCCACGTTCAAGTCGCGGGTGTTGAGATTCACCTCATCGATTTCGGCCGTTTCCTTGAAAGGTGCGGCTTGGACGAGCACAAAGCTCGTTGTCTGTAACGAATGAAGCTTTAGTTTCTCCCGAAATTATACCACGGAACTGATGAAAGATTTTTTTCACACTTGAATGGGGGATTTGCAGTTGTCTAAAATTTTGTGAATTTCATCATTAAAATGATACCACTGGGAAAACTGAGCACCAGGATATCCTTGGTTTCTGAATTGAACTATTATTGGAGGAGATAAGACGGTTATAGGACATTTCGACAACGATTTTTTGTCCGCGCACCTGTTTTTTCCAGTAATTTACGTCCACGCGTTTTTTCGGCACGCGAGTTTGGGTCCACGTGCCAATTGAGACCCAAAGTTAATCGGCCCACATGTAAATACAAACGACAATTGCTCACGACGTTTTTGGATGAAAATGTATAATGTCTTGAGAATGAGGGTTTGCTTGTTTTTTTTGTTTTGTCTGTTTGGTCAAACGGAGAATAATATATAGTTGAGAGTTTAGGTAAAAATGGGGGAGCGTCAATTCCATGAGACAAAATTCACTAAAACTCTCTACACATCTTTGGTGTGACAGGACTTAATAATTATCTTTCAAGAAATTCCCACCTTGTTATACCTAATCCGGATGAACCTCTACCTCTACTACCTCTTTCGCTCACAGGGTGAGCGANCAAAATTCACTAAAACTCTCTACGCATCTTTGGTGTGACACGACTTAATAATTATCTTTCAAGAAATTCCCACCTTGTTATACCTAATCCGGATGAACCTCTATATTTGCCTCAGCTAAAGGATCTTAGATTTTTCCAGTGTATGATAAGTATCTTGATTTATTTTGCGAGGGAAGATCTATACTTTTAAAAGATGCGTGTCATTCTTAATACGTTCAATTTCGTATAACACTGTGCAACACCTCTGTTGTGAAATAGTTGCCTCAGGCGCGGCCGAACGGCGGGCGGGCGGCCAGCGCGAAACGCGCATTGGCGCCTACAAACCTAAGTGGCTACTTCAAGCATTGTGCAATGCGCGAAGTATCCACTTAGGTTTGTAGGCGCCAGTAGGTTTGATACTTCACGCATTGCACAATGCTTTGAGTATCCACTTAGGTTTGTAGGCGCCAGTGAGCCTCTCGCGTTGGCGGTACGCCGCTCCGCTCTGTTAGGCTTTAATATTTATACTCGCTTAATCAGCGATTTTTAACTCATGATTTTGAAATTTTGCACACTCTGCATTGATTATTCTCATTTAAATTGATGAAAAAAAAATATGTGTCAATTTATAAAAGGAGAATAATAATATAATTGATATAATGTGGGTTTTTTTTAAATATTGGTGGCTCCGTGTCAAATTTAATGAATTTCAAAGTCCTTTAACTTTTTATTTTACATTTTGTGCTTTAATTATGCTGCAGCGAGGTGTACGCGCAACGAAACGCTCAAAATTTGACTTATTTGACTCCTAAAGATCGATGTACAAATGGGTTAAAACTAAAGATTGGCTTCTTGGTTTTGGTTTGGTTTTCCCCCTCATTCATTCATTTTTGCAGTTTCTGTCCGCACAACTGCGGCTCATTGCGATTAATGTCGCTTAAAAAAGGTTTTACAAATATTTGTCACGTTTTAAAAATATAAATGTTTTGAAAGTGAAGTACTAATTTCGTAAAGAAAAAATTTAAAAAAAAAAATAAAAAAAAGTACCTGAACATATGTAAGGTATATTGTGCATCGAATAATATTTTAAGGATAGAAATAAAACCAAATATTTACCAATGAGAATTTAAAAGATGATTCAACAGGAAAAAGTAATAACATTTCATTTAGAAAATGAGCAACCATAACAACACCACCTTCTCTCTCAATTTCTCATTTCCATGTTGTCAAAATAATTTTACGTACAGACTAAAATATAACGCTTGGACCAAGTCACTGTTGCTTATTTTACGTGTGGGCGTAAACTACTGGACAAAAAATCGTTGACAAATTGTCCTGAAACCGATAAGACAGAATAACCGAATCTGCTAAAATACATGTGTTTTTATGGAAAATACCGCCAGATGACGTCATAAGGCGGCACATTTTTCTCACCTTTAAGTAAAGTTTTCTCCAGTTTCCCATGTCAGAAAAAAATTATAAAAATACTGCGAACTCAGCTCATTAAGCACTCTCAGATGAAGCAATAAAATTTTTGTGTGCAAAATCTCCATTCCTGGAAGTTTAGTGCTGAACTGAAATTCATGTCATCGCACGCTATTCCTATTTGTATTGCTCAACTCGACCTGTACCACAGTCGAAGTCTTTCGACTACTTATGTATCAATATTGAAAAATAAAAATATAATAAATGAAATAGAAATACTTTATTTATAATCAAATTCCCTGGATTCTCCCCGCCTCCAAATCTGACTTTACCTGAGATTCTAATAAGACTTCCACTTTAATTTGTTTCGCTTTCCGTCTCATCTATCATAAGCAGTGGGCTGATGATTGAAATCGGTAGACAAAGACAAAGGAGACATAAAGGATACGGAGGGATCTTATTAGAGGGAGCGGGTGGTTGCAATGGACAAGGAAGTGAGTATAACTAACGGCAACCCACGAGAATCCCTGTAGTTAGTCCATCATTTACTCCCTTAATTACCAATAATATCAACCAATGGGATCGCTCCATACTCCCTACGTTTTCTTTGTCTATCAATTTCAACAATCAGCCACAGGGATGCAAGATGAGACGCGGGATTCAATTTTACAGTGAGTTTCATATATTGTTATCCAATGATAATTTCGTGCTATTTTTCGAGCGAAATGATCCATAGAAGAACAGACACCGATTATTGGATTAAGAAAGAATCGATCAACTGAACTTTTTAAAGTTGCAATGTAATTAAACTCCACCGGTTTGCATTCCATCAAATTTACTGAACATCATGTATCGATGATGTACTCGCTCATAATGTTAAAAGAAACTAAGAAACAGCAAACCAGGAAGAGGGAACTTCCCACAAAAGTTCAAAAAGTGTCGTGTCGGACGATGCAAATCAAGTAGTGGCTGTTATTTTCCACTTTGTTTCGTACACAGCACGGCGGAAACACTCTTTGAGATAGGACATTCACATGTTTCGGAACATGTTGAACGAGTATACACGTTACATGTCTTCAAAAATGGATTAAGCTCAAGTGAAAGCAGATCAATGAAACTGCCATAGACTGAGGGACCAAGGCGTAAAGATTACCCGCTTGCACCGGGCCTGAAACTCCAATATGTTCGACAGTGGGGAGATTATTGAAATCAATAGGCAAAGAAGACAAAGGGAAATGAAGCAATCCTGTTGATTGAAACGGATGGTCCTTAGAGACTTATAAGGAGAAAATGATGGAGAATCTATAGGGTCTCTCGTTAAGGAGTTACCGTTAGTTAGTCTATTACTCATTTCCTTTGTGTATTACAACCACCCTCTTCCACCAATAAGAGGTCTCCATTTTCCCGTTGCCTTCTTCGTCTATTGCTCTTTCGATCAATGGAGATGTTGCATGTGTGAGGAATTTGCGATTTGACCATTGTTTCTTACGTAAAAGTTTTCGAGAAACACGATGGTGCCACTGGTTTTCTCGGAAATCATCTCCCAAGCTCAAAAAAAGCTCTCAAAGTGAGGCTAAAATGGAGGGGATATCCCATCCTACCATGAGAGTCGACCTCTACATCAAAACGAACTCTCCATGCAAAGATATGGAGCAAATACAGTGGCAGGGTTGCCACTTTACTTGGGACTCCAAAACTGAAAACACGGCATCACTGCTAATGTATTTGCTCCCTTTCTTGGTATGGAGAGTTTGCTTTGATGTAGAGGTGGACTCTCAGGGTAGGGTGGGATATCCCCTCCATTTTGTCCACACTTTGAGAGCTTTTTCTGAGCTTGGGAGATGATTTCAGGGAAAACCAGTGGTATCATCGTGTTTCTCGCGAACTTTTACATAAGAATCAATGATCAAATCGCCAATCCCTAACACATGCAACATCTCCATTTCAATAACCAGCCCGCAGGTATGCCCTATCTGTTTTCTAAAGCGCGTATCTGCGTAATAAAAACTCTCCTCGATACGTTGCCAGCGATGAAATGTCGCCAATTGAAGAGACATTTCAATGAAATGTCATTTGATTCGTTATCAATCATGACGTTAAAATCCACATAACTGCGTCATTAGTAAGAACAAAAACGAATATCTGCGTCAAGAGCAACAAAAAAACCATTAGAAACAATTCACTGGGTATCACATTACTGCGTCATAGGCAAGAACAAAAACCGGTATTTGCGTCGATAGCGAGAGGAAACCCATATTGCACATAACTCACCAGCGCAGCAACCCCGAAAAAGAGGAGAGAAACACGACTAACGCGAACTGCCATGTCTGCAGTCGTAATGTGCCATTGGCGACTTTTCACTCGACTATTTAAAGGCGCAAACCGTGAGAGATGACTTAGTCGGAAAAAGCCATTTGATTGCTATTCTGGGTGCAGGCGGAGAGGAAAATCATTTACGGCAGGGAATTGCGTGATTTTATCCGAGCAATATGGTAGTTTTTGCAGGTAATGGTTTGCGCACCTCATGCAATAACTCCCTCTGATTTTTCGGCAAAAACTAAACTATTTAACCGACATCATCGCGGGGTTGCATGATGAGCCGAGGGGGCTGATGGATTAGATACGGGGGATTATGTTATGATTAAAATGTTGTTTCACCATATGACAACCTCGAATCGTTCAGATTCCATAAAACGAATATTTCCATCAGAATTCAGATGTGATCCGGGACAATTCTGCGTAATCATTGGGTTTAAAATGGAAATGAATAAATCGAAGTTTTTGACATTGATGTACTTACCTGATAGATCTACGTCAGATAGTAGTTAATGATGAGCATTAAGGGGCGAAAAAAACACGAACACTTACGGATTCAGACCAATTGATTAATATTTTTGTAATGATTTTAATTCTGAGGAGTGAACGACCCTCAGTTCTTCGATTTCGACGGTTGGATCACTAATGGTTATCTCATTTTAGACTCATCACTGCGGCAAAAGAGGAGTAAAATAATGGAAATAACTGTTGAAATGAAGCTTTGTATTTAGACAACTTCAGCTTAAACGGAGCAAAACATTCACGCGAAATAGGACATAGACCAGACGAAGATCTTAGAGGAAGATAATCGAATGTTTAAAAGTTCATCTTGTCGTTAAAAAGTTTGTTTTTTTATAGTTTTCTTTGAAGCACGATATATTTAAGATCTATCGAAGGAAAAGGAGGCAAAGACTGATCATTAAAAAGGCTAGAAAATACCATAGACAAAAAAGATAAAAATAAAAAGACACACTCCTATAGGTCGAGACGGGTGGTTTCGATGGACAAAGCGGATAAGTAATAACTAACGGCAACCCACAAGAGCGAGAGACCCTACACTTTGTCCATTGTTTTGCACCTAAGTTTTTAACAACCGCCCGTTTCAACCAATAGGATCAGCTCCCATTTTCCCATGATATTCTTGGTCCATCGCTGTGGCCTTTTAAATTGCAGGACGACGGTCTTTGACTGGCCATCTTTCATAGCAGTGTTTCCAGCCATTTTCGTATCTCTTTAATTTTTTCCCTCTTCTTCTCCCATGCATCCGCGTTTTCTTTTGAAGGGGATTCCATTTCTCTCTTTTGCCTTTCCCATCCCCTTTCTACTTGTATTTCTGTCTCTTGGCTCTCTCGATCTTCTATCTCACGCTTTCCGCGACCTTGTCTGGCCTTTTCCGCTACGATTTGCTTAAAACTCGCGTCCAGATCTGCTGCCTTTTCTATCTGCTGAGTCTCCAGTTTCGCTACTTTTTGCAGCAAACGTCCTTCCGATTCGCAGTCCTGTTTATTTCATTCTTCGGTCATTTCTTGTGAACGCGCTTGTACTTCTGTCTCCTGACTTTGAGTTTCCCAATCTTCTGCCTCGCGTTTTATGTGCACTCCTGTTTCCTCTGCTGCTTTGTGAAAATAACCTTCAAAAGTGTCCAGTAATTTTTCGTGCGATCTTTCTAGTTCTCCTCCCTTCGGCTCTTTGGTATCCTTCAAAATCTGCTGGAGAACACCTTGGCTCATTTGCAGCGGCGCCGCAGGACTCATAGGCAGGGCATGCGTGACCTATGACACGCGTGGTCGATCAAAAACATATTTTAAGATGAAAAACTATGAAGTATATTAGTACCCAAGAACCAAAAGGTACCGAGCTCCATTTCAGTCGTTTCGAGTTATAGAGGGAAAACCGCGCTTTTTCGACTAATCACAGAGATATCAGTGTTTTATATTTTATTTTTGGTGTCTGGAGAGGATTAATTGGAACTTCTTTCACTATAATTATTCGTTCTGAACTTATGAGTGTTGGATCTTTTTTATCAAATGAACATCTATATAATGTTGTTGTAACTTCTCATTGATTTCAATGTAAATGACGATTTTTGAAACATCATATCTTATATCTGGCGTATATGTACGGCTACCAAATTTTCCGCACACACGGAACTGTTAATGGAAATTTGGAAAACGCCACTAACTCGATTTGCAAAAAGTGTGAGTTAGGTGCCTTTCGGCTCTAGGGTGCTGACATGATGGAACATTTAACAGGGTACGGAATAAAGCACTGCAATTGGCCGTATTTCTACCGAGCAGATTTATACGCGGGTGGGAAAGAAGGAATGAGCTCGTGGCAAGATGAATAAGAAACATATTGGTCAGTGGGCATGATTCCTTTTGGTGAAATGGAAAACAAGCGGCATTTTAAATTCAGCAAACAGAACTATGTGCCAACTGAATGCGGGACTTATGAGCCATTAGCATGGCAAAAGAGCGTTGTGGACAGGGCTCATGAATTAAATTGGAAGAGGGGCGACAACGGAGACTGCTTTGTTGCCGCTGACGTAACTGGCCCTTCATAATGCCCAATTGCCCATGCATTCTTTTCGACCGAGAACTAACGAACACACCCGATCTTTCCCCGCCTGCACATAGTTCTGTTTGGTAGAAATACGTCCAATTGATGTTTCCTTATTTAATTTAACCTAGAATTAGATGGTCACATTGAATCTCAAAATGTGATCCATGCTAAAAACGAGTATGACAAATTTTTCAAGAAGTAAGGTAAATGCTGTTATGAGTATCCATGATTATTGACACAATGATACTATAAGGTAACGATCACTAGAAATTGATGGTCCATCGATAGTCATATTGACATGGTGTGGTACCATTAAAACCAGGGCCGGATTAGGGGGGCGGGCACATGGGCCGCGGCCCATGGCGGCAAATTTACGGGGCGGCAAATTTTGCAATTTTTTTAAATGTAGGTATGAAAAAAATCGGATTCAGAAAAAAAATTATCGATGAGAAAAGAAGACAAAATCTCTCTTTCCTGAGAAAACAGTAATTTCTAATTTTGTTGTTTTTCGGTGATACAAGAGACAGCAATCTTTAATCAGTCGAGTTAAGAGAGGGACTAAACACGCAATTTGGCCTGGAGCTCAGTGCAGAGAGGAATGATGTCGAGGACTTGAGATGAAAAGGAGAAGCCCTGGGCGCGGCGGTCGGCATGTAACGCATATTACCGCCTACAAGATTGCATGAATACTTCACGCATTGCGTCAGATACAGTGCGGTCAGCAGCGGTCGGCGTGAAACGCATAACGCCTACAAGACTGTAGGAATACTTCCCGCATTGCGGCAAATACAGTGCGGTCAGCGCGGAGCGGCGGCGGAAGTTAAAATTATTAAACCACATTTATGTTTATTCTTTCTTAATTTTTTCGTTCAATGCTTATAAATGGAAGGCCTTGTCCCCATAGAGATAGGTTTACGGGACTTAACTTTCGTGCAAAGTTCCGTGAACTTTTGCTGGTAGTGTTGACAGGGCTTTAGCAAAAAATGTTTCTAGCACGAGTAAGCGCGTTTTATGCACCCTGATACCTCCGGCACGTTCATTTGATGGTTTTATTGATATTTCAAAACGAATGAGAAGGGGACGGCAAAATACAGGCGGCCCATGGGCGGCAAGTAGGTAAATCCGGCCCTGATTAAAACCATACACGGAATAAATAGGGTAGGCGACACAACCAGCCTCATTTATTTCCGTGCAAACATTTTTTTCACATATTGATAAATTCAGAAAATGTTGATTCAATCAATGAAAAACGAGGTAATTTGATCCATTTTCCATTGGAATTGCGTTATATTGGATTAGCAAAAGTAACATCTTTCTGGAGCTGGTGCTCATGTGTTTCACCACTTAGAAAAAGTCAAAAACTCGGAAACTCTATGACTAAATAAGTGCTTCACAACGTGCATTAATAATACAAATTGCAATTCCGTGGAGAAAATTACTCGTGGTTATGGTGAATATAGGGTCTAAATAAAAGTTCAACTGGGAGATTCGTTTTGACCCGATCTATACCTATAATACTAGGGGGCAATGCCCCCCGCCCGTTACGCGGCCACAAACAAACGCGCGGAAATGTGACTAATTTTGATAGCCACCTCTAATTCTTGATAAAAATTCTGTGAAGAAATTCAGAGCTATGAAGTGTAAATTAAGTAGTAAACCGTACAAACTAGGTGTGAAAACGACAATCGAAAACACAGGCAAAAGCGGAAACAAGGCTAAAATACAAAATATAAAGGCAGGATGTTCCGGTACCTTGCGGCACTATTATCAACTGCTAAAAAAGAATTAAAAATAAAAAAAATTAAAATAAAAACCAGCAGACGGCGTTACATAGTGAAATTGGTAAATGATACTCCGTCGCAGGTGAGTCTCATTTACCAATTTCACTATATTTAACGTCATTTACTGGTTTTTTATTTTAATTTCTTTTTTATTTTTAATTATTTTTTTTTAGCAGTTGATAATGGTGCCGTGAGGTACCGAAACGTCCTGCCTTTATATTTTGTATTTTAGCCTTGTTTCCGCTTTTTCCTGTGTTTTCGATTGTCGTTTCCGTTTCGGGCTGCTTTTACATTCTCTTTGTTTTCAACTAGGTGAGAAATATACAACAAGAAGTGGCAATCATCTCAAATAGCAATAATGCTTTTCATAATCTTTGCCCGACCCCTCCCCCGGCCACTCTGGAAAAAAATAATCTTTTTTCGGCACAGGTGACAGTTAATTTTTTGAAGAACATGCAAATTCACATTACTTCAATTTCTGAGCAAATAATTAAGAAAATTTCAGAGGATAAGGAAAATGGAAGAAATTAAACTCACCGATGAGATCAGTAGAAAAAGCAGTATGCACGTGTAAACCGCCATGTTTCCAGTCGGCGAAGTGAGGGACTAACACTCTGAGGGGAATTGATCAACCTATTTGTACCATGGTCCGCAAGATGGAAGATTTTCTGCTGATTAGGAAAAAGGGAAACTCAATTTAAAAGCTACAATGGTGGGAGGCAATGATTCCCGATTACGAAGTCGCGCGCGTCATATCCCACATCGTTAATCGAGGATTTCCTGAAATTCACTAGAATTATGATCTAAATGGGCCGGAGAGAGATTTCTCCCCTTGTTGACTCTCACTTGGCAAGTTTCTCGCATTTTGAGCAATGACAGTGAGTGCTCTCTCGCATAAAAGGGCATATTCGCCGGAGGCGGCAAAAAATGAAAGGTCATCACGAGAAACACATCAATGAAAAAATGTAAGCACTCAAGCTCAAGCGGAGAGAGCCGTAAGTGCAAAATTTTCGAAATCGAGTTTTCTTTAAAATTCGTCTAAACTCTTTTAGATGAAATTACTGAGACAGCTAAAACAGCAAAATTCATCCTAATTTAATGAAAAGGAGACGTATGAGAAAATCGAAAGTGCACAAAAAATGACATGGTTTTTTCAAGACAGCCGTAGGTGCATGAGAGCCAATGAAAACAGTGCTTTCAAGAGGAATGCCGCCCTCATCTGCCGATTTCTAGCCTGAAAATGTGTTTGTTGTGCGTCCAAAACGCAACCACGAAAGCATGCAGAAGATAGCACTTACGGCTGTCTTGCCTAACAATAACCTAGCATGAAAATGAAAAATACCCTATTTATGTAATGGAACTAAAATCAGTCGATTTTTAATCATCCATACGATTTCTAGGAGATTCCATGGCGATTCCATAGGATTTCTTTCGTCTTTCGGACGATTGGGGGCAATTTGACAAAGAACGGAGGCTTCTTTCAACAAAATTTTCTGGTCAGAAGCTTCTGAGCCCGTTTCCTCAGAACTTCATTTTTGCGTTTACGGCTCTCTTCGCTATCACGGCAGTACAGACTGTAAAAAAATTGATGTCGACCTAAAAGTAGAGATGGAGTCCATTTTAGTATAGACTAGAGTTGCAAAAACTGGTTGCTATAGACTATATAAAGTAAGGTAACTATCAATGAGGACTTGGCGGATGTTTGTGATTACAGACCTGTCCATATTCTCCCAGTCTATAAAATAGATATTCTACTAGGAGCCCCAGAAGACGGTTCTGCTCTTGAGTAATTGTCGTAGGCAATCAGAGATCAACGGCAATTTGCAAACGTGGCACTTACGTTAACTCTTCAAATTGCGATAATTTGCGTCGATGTAGTAAAGATTCGAAGCACGACACCGGTTTGGAGCGCCTTCAACCCCCAAAGAAACTCTCCGCATTACCAGGCAGTTGGTTTAGTTGCCTATCCGAACAAAACCGATCTGCTTGTGAGTTCACTGACTTTACTACACGCACTCTCTAATGTGCTTGTGGGTACCATACATCCAACTCTGATTGAATTTCAACGATATTGAACTCCATACAGCGGTTCTTTACTCCAGAATTTTTCCACGTTTTTGTGTAACACACATACTGCGATTTTACACGGCGATTGCCTGCGACACAGCCATGGCTCTACTTCAGTGATTCATGACGCGGTCAGCCAAGGTACCAGTCCTGCTCGAAAAAAAAAAGGAAGGAGAACCAAAGAATTTTCTGAAATGAATTGATTTATTTACACAACTTCCAGGAACAAAAATGTCATGCGAGCCAAAAAATTTAACACTTCATCGGCGTAAACATTCACATTCGAAGATTGAAATTGATCCCTTTGTACAAAACGGCCTTTATGTTGTTTGCAAAAGCTGACGACTGAAGGGGGATTTTTTTTAGCGCACAGCGGGCTGATTGTTAATAATGATGGACAAAGCGATAGACTGAGAATACGAAACGATCTGTTTTCATTGCATCTTCATTGTCTACCCCTTTGTCTATCGAATTGAAGAATCAGCCTGCAGGACGGCTAAAGTTACCACCAACTGAAGGAATCCCCTCTATTCCAGGAGGGTGTTCGCCTGGCCTCTCGCTGCTGGCGCCAACTCATCCTCTCCTGTTCCCGTCTTTCCCTTTCCTTTTCCCTCTCCTGGTCCCGTCTTTCCCTTTCCTTTTCCCGTCTTTCCCTTTCCTTTTCCCTCTCCTGATCCCGTCTTTCCCTTTCCCTGTCCCTCTCTTGTCGCTGTCTCTCCCTTACCCTGTCCCTCTCGTCCTGCTGTCGTGCCCTCTCTTGTTGCTGTCTCTCCCGTTCTTTTTCCCACTCTTGTTGCTGTCTCGCCCTCGCTTCTGCTTCTCGCTTCAACCTCGCTTGCAGAGCGTCCATCCTCTCCTTCTGCTGTCGCTCCCTTTCCTTCCGTTCGCGTTCCCTCTCTTCTTCTTCCCGAGCCAATCGCGCGTCCAGGGCGGCCATTTGTTCCTTGTGCTGTCTCTCCCATTCCTTGTGTTTGCGCTCCCTCTCCTCCGCCTCCTTCTTCAACCTCTTCTTGGTTTCCTCCTGATCTTTGAGGATCTCCGCCCAGTCTTTCTCGAACTGCGCGATCTCGGCCGGGGTCATCGGTGTCCCGACTTTGACGTTCGTGTACCAACGTGCGCCCTCGGGGGTTTTCTGGTACGTGGGCTTGGCGAAGGATTTGGTCTTGGTCGAGCAGATCATCTTGTTGCCGATGTAAATCTGAAAGATATCGACTTTGAGTAAGATGCAACAATGTACAGACTAGTTTGTTGCATATTGCACATTTTTTAAAAATTTTTGGACCGGATTTTTGAACCTTTCCATACCAATGCAGTCACCTGAAGATGGGCGGCCTACCCGCTCGAAATGTCCATAGTGCGTAGAGAACAATAAGAAAGTAGGTGCTATATAATCGGTTTTCAAAAAAGTTTTAAGTTAATCAAATAATTAATGTACAGACTATAGATTAGCGTACTAATTGCTGAAATTGGTAGACAAATTGATGGACAAAGAGAAAAAAATGATAAGGAGGGATCCTATTGGTGGAAGCCGGTGGTAGCAATACAAAGTAGGTAGGTAATAGACTAACAAACGACAACCCACCCACAGGGCCCTTTTAGGTAGTCTGTCATTTTTGCCCTTAGTCTATAAGAATACCCATTTCAACCAATAGGATTGCTTAGTACTTCTTACGTCTTCTTGGTCTATAGCTTTGTCTATCAATTTAAACAATTGCCCGGCAAGTCTTGTCTACACGTGCCAAGCTCCGAGAACATTGACGGAATAAATTATGGCTTAGTTATGACTTATTCTGTCTGCGCACAAAAAACAGGTAAAAACCATACGCAGTTGTTTCCGTGATCTGTTTGCTCGTATGGAGAAGGCCTTAGTTGTGGCCGATAAAAATGTGTATTTCACACACACTGAGAAAAAGCTATGGTTTATAAACCTATTAGTGGTAAATATGGAACACCTATAATAGTCGTAAATAAACTAATGATTCTCGGTCTGTGAACCATACTAAGGTCTCTGTACCTAATTAAGGTACAGAGACCATAACTAAGGTATATGTGCTATTATTATATGTAGAGGTACTACTATTAGTGGTGTTCCATATTTACCTCTAATAGGTTTATAAGCCATAGTTTTTTCTCAGTGCAGAGCAGTCTTTCAATAATGAACGGGTAGAGGGTGATGAAGTTATTCTCGTCCTCACTACCAAACTTAAAACTAACCGCAGTATTATCATCTCTTTTTTTGAATCAGTAGTGTTTTAAAAACGCTGGCGGATTCCTCAAGAAAAAACTGTGATTTTCGATTGATTTGAAAAACTCGTCACTTCAAAATACGAATTTTCAGGGTCACTTGTAAATGCTCCCCTTAACATTGTTCAGGTAATTAAATTCGCTCGCAATTTCATTGTAACCCCTCCAAAAACCGCCTGAAATTTTTCGGGTAGGCAGTCAGCATATCATGAGAGCACGAATAGTTGCTCTATCAAAAGTACTAGACTTACCCGAGCTGAGGCGTAAGGTCTGTACGGGAGAACGAGTTAGAGGAAGAAGTCGAACATGATTTTGACACTTCAAAAGCGCTATTTTGTAATTCAATGAAATCTAGATTAGGTTTAAAATATCAGTAAAAATGTAATTATTTCTAATTTCCAAGATTAGTATTTCATTTTAAATTATTTACTGATTGAAGTTATTGACTTTTTTAGTTGTTTTTATAATGTTTAATCCACTGATTTTAATTTTACTTTTCATTCTGTCTTATTTTTTCAAGAATTTTTCTTGTATTTATTATTAATTCTTATTTTTATAGATTTATGTTGTTTATGCTATTTATGAGGGGTTATTTAATTTCGTTGATAAAAACCGCGAACGCTTAAAAAAAGGTTCCATTGGCTTTCTTGCAAAAGCTTCCCAGATCTTTCGAGAAAATGCACATCAAAATGCATATTATGACTCCAACTGTGCAGTTTCTTAATTCCTTATAATTATTCACATGGAAGTGTTGAATCCCCATAAGTAAAAGATTCCCCCTGTCGCCAGGGGGCTAATAGAGGGTCTCTGTATGCCTTTGGTCATACCCGATTACATTGCTGAGATTCTCACTGCGGAGATTCTTCTTACTGAGATTCTTAGTTTGTGACTCGTTCACAAACTCACTACTCACTGTTAATTTCCATTCACTTGTCTTTTTTTTTTTTTTTTGACCTTTATTTATTTAGTGGTTACTTATAAATGTTACAGAGGTTATGTAAAAAAAACAGACAAAAAGAGAAAAAGATTATACATAAGAAAAGAAGTACAATAGAGATTAAAAGTTGTGGCTATGAGAAATCAGGTGGTCTGTTGGGAAAAGGTCTCACCGGAACTACCATTAGGTATACCATCGGCGTGATTCACTTGTCTTAGGACTAGAATTATAGCAGATGAAGTCGACAAATTGTACGCTGTTGTAGTCTTCCCACCTGATGTCGGGGAAGAAGATGAAACTGTAAATATCGTCCCCCAGAGTTGGGGGCGATCTGATAGCAGAAAATGTGTCAGGCCTAGAAAGTACAGCAAGCTGGACATACTAAAATGTCTTCCACCACCGAAAAGCAGTCATAATAAGCATGAATATGCTTACGTGCAAGTACGGGAAAATGTTAGTAAGTGTTTTTTTTAGCGGCTCTGGTGCTAGCACCTAGAGCTGCTATTCCGACCAGTCTCCGCAGCGTATGCTACCAATGGTCCGTTTACCATTGGTTAGAGCGCGCTTAATTGGTAGATGGGAATAGGCGCAATTTTCTGCTGCTTAGGGGGGGCTGATTTCAATTTAATTGATTTATTTTTCCTGTGAGCGAATGTTATATTATTTATTGAGTTTTTGGAATAATTGTGATATTGTCTATAATTTAAATTTAGTTGTGTCTTAATTTCGTCATCAAAAATAAGTATTAATTAACTGTTTTCATTGTCATTTTTGAATCGATAATTTTTTCCCCGCCAATAAGTCATATCAGCTGAGACGGTCTCGGCCACGGTTGTATGCGTTTTCATGGAAGTTGTGTAGAGTTGTCATGGGAACGGAGTTCCCCATGATATTACAATCGTTCCGTTGCTTTCACAATGGGATTCCCTATACCTCTGCGACCTTGAGCGTTTCGCCCAGTCTCCGATTTTTGGTTGATTTTCCGATGTATCAAAAACCGTTGTATTTTTTAGCCAATCATGTCTCTACGTCAAGTTGTGTTGATTTCTAAAATTCGCTTTCAGCGAGTTTTTTTCC